AAAAAAAAAAAAAAAAAAAAAATAACTCCATGGAGTAGTTATTATCTATGTAATTGAAGAAGCTATAGAAATTCATCACCACCGTTCAGGTCCACACATGGGAGATTAATTCAAGAACAAAAATCGTAAATTAAGGGAAGAGAAGAACATTACCAAAAATTTGAAGTCATCGCAACCTAACCTAATATGTCATAATTGAGAAATGCCTCGTGGAAAGTTAAGGATTTTAATTTTGAGGATACATGAAGCCATGAAAAATGAAGTAAAGGAGCTTGTAAGTAGTTTAGATTGCATGTTTAGAATTATTCGATATTGTTTGTACAATAATTCGAATCTCAAACAAATATTCTTATCTTGAGATATTCAAGCAACAAAGTAATCCGAGTCTTACTTCTCTTGTTGTGAGTGAGTCACCACTGACCCTAGAACTCCTTCACCCACGTGCTCAACAACGATATCACTTCAACTTTCTTATGTGTCCATATGACTATACATTTTGGACAAGAAAATGTTGGGTCTAAACTAGTGAGAATGTCAAAAACAAAGTAACCTTTCAGAATAAGCATCTGGTTTGCCAATGGAAAAGAACACTGATTCTCCATTGTTGGATGGGGAAGAATATGGTTCCTTGTTCAATCCAGAATGGCCCATATTCGGAAACATAAGATGCTGGAAGTATAATCTTTAATCTATACTTTGTGTGAATCTAAAATAGATACCTTACATCAAATCGTACGTAATATACATACAAATTTGTACTCCTTCAAGTTCACAAAAGACCACACTGAAGACCGTATCGATGCAACGACAATGACAAACGACGACTTTTACAAGTTTCCTTCAAGTTCACAAAAGACCATACTAAAGACCATATCGATGCAACGACGACAAACGATGACTCTCACAAGTTTCCAAGGGCAGTGTATAATGCTATAGGCAACATTCATCTTGATTGCCATTACTTTCCATATTGCTTTTGCCCTCCCATTTCATAGTTTTATTACTCCCTCTCCCATTTTCCACATGTTTTTAGCCAGTTGGTGTGAATATTTTTCTTGACTGCCTCCATGAAATGTAATCCCCAAAAGAACAAACCACCCAAAATCAAAATGTATCCTTACCGGTATTGAGTGCAGGTCGAATAGTCGATAAGAGCACGAGTTTGTTATTTTGGTAGTTCGAGTGGGCAGAATGGAAGTAGAGACATGTTTTGAGCCATTTCTTATCATCTCCAGTATGTCATATGTGATGCAAAGAACTGAAAATCAGGTTGATTGACCTGAAGGCGCCTCAGCCACTTCTCTGCCGCCTGCATGAGGGAATTTGCCATTTGATGCTCTTTGACACAATTTTGCGCCCATATGGAGCCTTTCAGCTTATAAGAAGCCAATCCAAAGACAGGCAAGGAGACCTTTGGGATACCATCGTTGTCATTTGGATATATCATTGCTGGTGCCTGACCATGTCCATTACCTGTGAAGCAAAGAAAACGATCAACACTTGCAGAAAACAAGCCAAACCAACGATCTTTAAACAACATTGACAAAAGTAGATTGTTGTAGACAATGGTGGCTAGTGACAAAGACAGGCTCAAGAACGCAAGTGCTCTGGATGAAGAAGGAAAATAGATAGTATTTTCTTACATTTTGAAACAAATGTATGTCGGAATTAAGAATATTAAGTCAAGACTCGTAGAAATAAGTGGGTAGAGACGAGCACAAATGCAATGAATAAGCTCCAAAATGAACACAAAATAGGAAAAATTACTTGAATTCTTGAATAAACTTTTACCTGCGGACACAGATGAAGAATGAACACAAATGCCTTAATGGAGATATCGTACACAATCCATGATTTAACACTATAAATCTCCATATATGTAAACGCCAATGAATTTATTGGTCAGTTAGAACATGAGAAGAAATAAAATACTATCTCTACTAATCTGTCAGATAATGACAGGTAAATAACAATGTTTTTTATGAGAGTGCAATGTCGGAAGAACTCTGGCTACGATTGCTCGTGAAAAAACAAAATTAACGGGTTTATTCAGTTGACAAAACGAGTAAATGGGGCCTAGAGAACGTAAATCTTGAAGATTACCAAAGACTACAGGCACAAACCAGAAGAAAACTAAGAATACCATAGTACCTCTTATGGGTGTGGAAAGGGAATGATATGTTAGGAAGCAAGCATCCAAATCCTTCAATGTGGGACCAGTGGGTATACGGTATATTGGGTACCTACAATTCCAGTGGATGAATGAATATCATGTTTTACAAAACTAGAAATTACATTGAATCTGCAAATATTTACCATGCTACAGAGATCCAACTGGCTGGCAGGATATCACAACTTCTTAAAGTTTTCAAACCAGGAAATTGGTAAGCAAGATCAAATATCTGTCATAACATAAACAGTACGAGTAAATTAATACGGTTCTCAAAATCGCAAAACGTGTAAGAATATAACTACTAAAGGAACTAATAAGAAACCACTAACTTTATCAGCCAACGGTACACGTTGATAAGGAAGATCTTGCTCCAGAAACTGAAAGAGCAAACCACTCCGAGGATATTCTGCATCCCCATCGTCACTCGAAAAACCTTCTTGTCTTGTGCTATGTTCATCTCTTAAAGATGTCTTTCTCATTGTAATAGCGCTTTCACAAGCTAAATGGTGATGAACCCACTGTTCTCTGGATAAGTTACAGCTTTTACCAAATTCGTAGTCAATGCTTCCCTCGCTGCTTGTATCTTTAGAAGAGTCAAGATCACTGTCCTCATTAGCCAGCCTACCATTATAAAGAAACATTAATTAGAAGGAAATTTTCACCTTCAGAGTAAAATCAATGTTCTAAAAGTTCATGATCACATATAAAAGATTGGAAACAAGTACTAACATGAATTAACATATTCCAAACACAGATCAAGTACCTGGACTTAGAATCTGATCTCAATGCAGCAGATTCGCCATATATTTGAATACCAGACAAATATGGAACGTAATATTGAACAACAGAGTCACCTCCATTGAGTACTAAAGGAACTCCAGCACCGTATGCACTCCACTCCTTGAAAGACTCCCACAGATCATTCAGAACGAAATAAGGTTGAAATTCAATATCACAAGTCCTCCAACCCCTCATAGTTGTCTGGAAAGAATACAAGATTACAAGTTCATATCGCCCAAATTCATAGCAATGAAAACCATTAAAGGAAAAAAGAAATCAAACTAAGATTATGATCCTAACTTGGTTATAACTCAAATTTCATCAGCAATCAATCAAGCTTATATGTGATGAACTTTCTTCGATTCTAACATTTACCTTAGAGAAGTACTGCGCTGGAACTGAAGGCTTTGTGGCGTCCAAGAATCTCTCTAAGTTGCTCTTAGACTGAGGAGTTAGTGGCTTAGAAGGCGTTGTAGTAGAAGCCACAACTTCACTCGATGGAGTCTCAGTTTCATCGGTCTTGGTAGGTCTCCTCGATGGCTTTTGCTGATTATAACTCTTCCGTGCCCTCACCGGAATATAAAACCGATCCTCACCTTTGATTCCCCCAAACTGCAACGCAGTTCCCAACATTTCTATATCTAAACCAAAAGAACGACAATAAAGAAGAATCCTCCGTTGAGTATCAACGGAAAACGGAGGAAATTACACAGATTATAATCGGTAACCCCAAAGCTCTCTACCTTGTTCACTAAACTGAGAAGAAGAAAAAATAACTCAACCAACCAGAATCAAAAGAAATATCGATTTCTTTAAGCTCCCAAGTAGCATAAAGCCGACGAAATGGCGATTAAAAGAAATAGTATGCAGATTCTTTAAACTCAGCTTTCTTCTTCCAAAAATTACTCGAAATATCTCTCAAGAACACTGAATTGAATGGAGGATGCTAGCAAAACAATATCAGATCAGAGAGAAATCAATACCACAGAGGGTTTCAAAATCGATTAAATGAAGAAGAGAACTGAAAATCAATTCAAAAACTTCGCAGCAAAGATTTGAAGAATGCACGCAATGAATGACCAAAATGCGTTTTGTGTGAATTAAGAAACCAGGCGAGAAGGAAAACGCAGAAAGAAAGAGAGAAAGAGAGAGGAAGAAGCTTGAACCAGAGAGTGTGTTCTAAAAGAAGAAGATGACATAATAATAATAATAATAATAATAATAATAATAATAATAATAATAATAATAATAATTATAGCAAAAATGTATAA